GCTGCCGGCCAGGGTCAAACCACGACAAGTTTATTCCTAATAAATCACACACTTAGGAATTAATTTAAAGATAGTGTTCCTAGCACTCATCAAACAATTGCAGTTACAAGTAATAAAAATAAAATCCAAACCAATCATGTGCTTACTGCAGGAGCTCGTTTTTGCTGTTGCAGTCTGCATTTGAGCTTGCTTAAGTGGTTCAGCTTACAGTGCCCTCCTGCCAAACCTTCTGAAATGCAAATAAGGCAGTTTTTTGAGCAGTCTCGTGCTGTAGACATAATATATTAATATGTTCATGTGCTGAACTCTGCATTAGTAGCCTGGATCTTTGTGAAAGATGTGGAAGTAATTCTCTTATCTTTTAGCTTTACCTTATGGCCTGCCATGCTCGTCCCTTTCCTTTCTCCTACTGTTCTTCCCTTCTTGTTTCCCCAACTTTCCAGAGTGGTAAAAGGGCTTTACCTGAAGGAGGTGATGGCCAGCACTGCGTTTTTGATGGTCTCCTTTTCAAGCCCTTTCTGATGGTATTAGGGGTGAATTAATCTGTTTTTCAGTCATAAAAATTTTTCTAAGAGTTTTTTTTTTTTTTGACTTTAAAGCAGCCTGTTCGTTTTATAATCTACCTGTTTTATAAGGACGGTGACAGCTCCAGAGATTACTTTTCTAGCCAAGTGACAGGCTGGACTGTCGAATCCAATGTGCTGCTGGTCAGGACAGGTAGGAGGGAATAACCAAAACACCTGGATAATACAAGAAGATAGGAGATACTCAACCGTCCATGGCCTCTCAGTGAAAAAGTACCATTGTTAGGAGTTGGGTGATTGGAATCCTGCTGAATTCAGGATACCTTTTGCAGAATACCTGGGCTAACCCTGCAGTATATTTCCAGCTATGTAGAATGCAATTCTTTCACCGTATCACCACTCCTCACCCTTCCTGAGCACTTTACCCTGTCAATACAGCCCTCCAGCCCTCTTCCCCACCAGGCCTTATTGCATCTGTCCCAGACATCCTGTCCCAGCTGCTTTAATGATGGTGCAAGGGCTCTGACAGAGCCTGGGGCTTGTGGAACCTCCAGCCGGTGGGGAGATGTGTCTGTCGGTGCTGCCAGGAGGAGCGCGATGGCTGCTCGCTTTGATCGCTCGTGCTGAGCCCGTATAAATCTTGCTGTGTTTTGAGGCTTGATCTTGTTTTTCAGACTTGCTTGAAATTGGCCAACAGATGTGGGAGAGATTAGGGAGGCAGATGTATAATGCGAGCTTAAGAAAAGGGATAAAAGTCACATAATAGAAAACAATAAGAGTTTCTCTTCTAGTTTAGTAGGAAAATTTCCATATCTTTTTGTCTGCTTTACCTTTTAATGGGAAGTGAGCAGTGTAATCTTATTTGTGTTTTGCTTATTATTTTTAGAAAGAGTGGGTACACTTTTGAGAAGCTTTTGGCAGTAAAGGCGTTTTTAGTGAATCAGCCTCTTCTGTGGAGAAAAACTCAGAGAAAAAGCAACATTGGATGTAGCTATAAATGGAAACTGAGGTCTCTTATCCCCAAATCTGCAGGCAGACCTTATAAGCTGTCGCTAATTAAGCACCTCTGATATAGGTATATAATAATCTACTTTTGCGTTATTTTTTGTGTTATGGTAGGCCCTGTCATATTGCAGAGAAAGCAAAAGTTTCAGGCTTGAAAAGCTGGAGAACTCAAAGTCGCGTGGAGGTGGGTTCCCAGGGCACAAAGCAGAAGTGTGATATGTTGAGAAACGAAGAGATTCTCTTTTAAGCGAAGCTAAGAGTTTTTAAGATGAGAAGTATGTCTTTCCTAAGAGCATCGCTGCTTCAGCTCCTTTCACAACCCGTTTGTAATCAGTTGCTCAAGCTGATCTTTGTTTCCCCACGTTAGTGTAGAATTCCGACGCCGGCCGTACAGGGGAGGCAAATCGCGGGGTTTCACACTCCTGGTGGAGTCGTGGTGCAGCTTCGGCACCGATCACTCTCTTGCACGTAGAAACACAGCTCTGCCTTGCTTTTCCTTTCACACGCAGAACATCTCTGTTTCCCCCTATTTTTGCTGGGGGATTCTCAGTAAGTCTTCTCAAGAACTGAACGGTGAAGGAAGGCTGCCTCCTGAGATCACGACTGCCATTTGCTTTTTAATATTTGAAAGCGTTATTTTTCACTCGCTTCTTTAGCAATGGCTTCTGCTCAGAGACTAGAACAAGAGGCAGGGCTGAAACTGTCTCTGTTCTGTGTGATAGCTCGTTTGCAACTTTGTGCTTAAGATGTCTTTTGAAAGATATAGGAGCTGCTGTGGCAAAAGTCTCTCCTATAAAAAATTCAGCGAAGCACATAGGGCATAAATAAACCAGGATGTAGCGTACCTGCTGCCTCAGACATGGTGCGCAGCACTGGGGAGCCACGGGGCTCTCCGCACAGGTATTTTGCTTTTTCCCTGGTGACTGTCTTGGTCCTCCTTTTCCTGGCAGTTTTACATTTTGGGGTTTTTTTCTCCTGTATTATCCTCTCCTGAAATTAGTAGTGTTTTCTGCCTCTTCATGCCAAAAAAATGTGGGCTTAATGCATCATACACCTCAGAGGATGATGTTTACCAAGGTTATGAGGAGGATATAGTAGTTTTGGTGTAAATTTAAATTCACTCATTGTTTATGTACATGGATAAGTATGTTTGCTTTGAAGGCAAAGAGATCCTTATGATTTTCTGGCAGGAATCCTTTCTGAGTGTGAGTAGTCTGAACTGGTGGCACTAGGTACTGGGAGTTTTAATAAGTTACTACTTTATTACTCTTTTATTTCTATAAATAACTGCCAGGTGTTACAGAAGAGGAGAGTGCTAGAGAACTGCAGAAAAATAAGACTAGATCACCTGTAAGCAGACTGACGGTGGATATCGTGGAACTGGAAGCTCTCAGAAAGTCTGTGGAGGATTTTTTCTGCTTTTGCTATGGTGGGTGCTTTAAAGTCTTCCAAGTAGCTGTTCTGGATTTTTGAGTTTCTCTTCTGTTTGGGAGGAACTTACTGCATGACTTTGCCTTTCAACTATACTGTTGTTAAGGTGTTAAACTTAACTTTTAGTGGCTGATTCTAAAACATGCACATATATTTTATTTTTTTCTCCTAGGTAAAGCTTTAGGAAAGTCAACAGTGGTACCTGTGCCGTATGAGAAGATTCAGAGGGACCAGTCTGCTGTGGTAGTGCAGGGCCTGCCCAAGGGACTTGAGTTTAAACATCCGGCAAATTATGACGTTTCAACCTTGAAATGGATTTTAGAAAACAAGTCGGGGATCTCCTTTATCATCAAAAGGTTATTTGCTCTCTCTTGTGCTGGTCTGTCTGCTTCGGTTTTGTATTTAAATTAAGTCTAATAAATTTTACTTTTTAATTGAATACATTGCAGCCTGTTTCTCTGAAACAGGAGTGCTCGCTGCTTAATGTTACGCTACCAAGTAAGTAATGATGTGTTTGCTAAAGCTGTGGGTTTTTCTTTCTGTATTTCCACACAGGCCTTTCCTAGAGCCAAAGAAACACCTTGGTAAGTTACTGCTTACTCAGACTAAATAGAAAGAGATCAGGATTTTAGTTTAGATAGCAATGTAGATGCAGGGTTTGGTCATGTGGATAAAGTTGCCTTTACTTATGGAACTATAACCTTTTCCTCTGTACTTTCTGCCCAGGCCGGCTAATTAAGAGATAAAGTTTGATTTTTTGCGTTCTTCAACCTGTTACTGAGTTTAAATTTAGTGTGAATTGGATAGCATCCTGGGGAAAGGTGACATGAATTGGTGGACTGCTTTGCATTTTTAGAAGATGCCAAGACTATGCATTGCTCTGTGATACAATACCTAGCTGATTTGGACGGTTATATCTCATTTTAAAAATTGATCTAGTCTTCTGCAGTGTCTAGATGTTGTAGTTCCTCTGAAAGCCTCTATATATTAAAACTGCGCTCTAGAGTTTTTTAAAATTCTGCAAAAATTCACTTCTAGCTTAGAAGGAATCCATTCTCCTGTTCCTTTCATGGGATCCTGTTGCTTTACTTGAAAAATTCATACATGTGAGGCTTTGTTTTATGAAGAGGATGAAGCAATCTCTATAGGAATGTAGTCAAAAGGGAAAAGCTTCACTTTCGTGGGTGAAACAGCCAGAAGTTGATGCCGGATTAGTCAAATGAGAAATGTGTCAGAAATTAGTCAAATGAGAAATATATTTCTATTAAAAATGCAAGGCAGGTTTTCAGTGTGATGAATGGCATTGTAAAAAGATAATCTGTTTGCATCTAGCTGTAATTCAGGACTAAGCAGAATCTTGATAAAACTTACCTGTTTTCTTTTTAGCAGAGTTTAGGTGAAAGAGTTGTTTTACCTTTTGTTTCCCAAGATTTTTACTTAGCAGCATGAAAGCGGGAAGTGCAAAGCATGGTGAAACGCACATATTTAGCAATTCTGTATTGATGTTGCTTTGTAGATACATAAAGCAGCTTAACAAGAGCATCCCCTTGTATCTGAATACAGAACATACGCACACATGCTTGTAAGATGTGAACAGGTTTTTGCTTCGTAAAATCAATGTTATATTTTCAATTTGTAATAAATGTAAACGGAGTACAGAAATTCAAAGATTGTCTTTTAACTTTCAGGAGCTCATACGACAGATCCTTCAAGTTCAATTATATCTCCAGGTGGAAGGTGAATTTAAAATAATACAGTATTTTTTGTATGAACTATGTATTTTCATATAGTTTATCTTTTTCTCTTAAAGTGCTTTTCCTGTCCAGCTGACCCTTGGATAACTTTTGCTTGCCTGGGATTATGAAAAGCATGAAACTGAATTTTCTCTTTCTCTTGATCATTATTTGTGGGGCAACTGCAACAAATTAAACAGATGGCAAAGTTTCCCCTCAGTTTAATTAGCCCAATGAGTGTTCTTAATTCACAGTCTGTCAGTCAGGGATAAGCTTATCATGTTTTATGATACGGCAGCGATGGGGAACAGATGTAATGTTGCTTCCTTCCCCCTCCTCAATTAAAAAGGACAAAAATATTTTTTCTTGTTAGTAAATGAAGATATTGTATCTGGAAGAAATACAGATTTGGTTAATATGAAAACGAGGATCAGTTTTCTGTGCTTCTGAATTTGACTTTTATTAAATGGTGAACACACTTTAAATATTGGCTATGTCCCTTAAATATGGGGATAGGAGATTGCTGGCAATTTCTTTGAGATAACTCACATGAGCCAAGATACAGTGTTTGTTTTTTTACTTTTGTATTCCTAGCTGGGAAAAAATACAACCTGTAAAGCTTAAGAAACTTTCCAGAAATGTGATACTTGCGGGTTTTTTTAATATAATGCTAATGTGTTTGATTTGTTTATTTTTGTAGTTGTCATATTCAAGTGAAAACAGAACCAAACGAGGATTCTGGTATGTTTGAAATTATGCCTTTATTTGCAAAAAAAAAATAAAAAAATAACCACACTAGTTTCTGTTCTGAAGGCTTAATTTAAGTAGAGATAGGAAGCTCCAAGAAAAATCAGAAGAAAGTCATCCCTTGTGAGAAGGAAAAGCTTTTCTTTCCTTCAAATTGTCCACTTTTCAGTTGGAGTTTTTATCAAGTATTGAACTTCTGCCAAATATTTTTACAGTCTTCAGATCTGAGATGGCATTTGCAAGGGAAGCTTTTCATCCTGAATCCCTTCTGATCGCGACCAAATTGAAACATAAGGAGCCAGCAGCGCTTTGTTAGCGTTTCAGCTCAACAATTACAGCATCTCAGCACCTGAATTTTTTTTCCCTTTTTTAAAATAGAGATCAGCTACCTTAGTGGATTTATTGCTTGGTAGGGGTTTTTTTAAGTTTTATTTAGTTTCCATATTTCATTCCCTTGTTGCTTCTGCAGGAATTTCTTTGGAACCAGGAACAGTAACAGTGAAGGAGGAATCCGATGATCCTGACTACTATCAGTATAATAGCCAAGGTAATTATGCTAATTTTCACGTGTTTATCTCCTGAAAGGGTTGATTGCTTATGTGCTACTCTCTCTGTGCCTCTCCTTACTTATTCTTTATCATTAAACTTACAGTTGCTTATCTCTGTTAAGACACAACATTTCCATGTTGGCTATCATTCAAGTTGTTCTGAAGAACATCAGGCAGCTAAAGTGCAACCTCAGCGTACCTGTGTGTGTGTGTTTGCGCTGAGCAAGAAATTTCAGGACTCTTTTGAGTTGCCTTCTTGTTCTCTTCTTCTGAGGGTCCTGTGTGCTGCAATGACCTCTTTAAATGGGAAATAAACCATAAACCATAATAACAATGCTTCCTAGAGCACTGCTTGAACCTCTTCTTTAGATTGAAGTTTCAGTAACTTCTGTAGTTTATCAGTCACTTTTTTTTTTAATTTTTTTTTTATAATGACCAATGTGTGTCCAAATTGTATGGAAAAGTTTATTTATATTTTTATATTTTATATATTTAT